AGAGTTGCAAAAATAAAAAATAAAAAAAATCAAGAACAAAAATACCCCCCACCCCAAATAATAATTATATAATTATATAATAGCAATAAAATTTAAGGGATGCACGAACTGCCTTTGATTAAAGTCATATAGCAGAATGATTTTTTGTAAAGGAATCACTGGTACTGATTTTTTTAAAAAAACTATTCTGGAGGAATGGTTTCAAAACTGGGTTGAGCATCTTCCAATAAAAATCACATTATTCCTCCCCTCTCTTTTTAATTGTATATGAAGTATTTTATCACTCCAGGGTGGTGCATTTTTTCCCCACCTCTTCCTGTGCTGTCTGATTTGGGCCTCAAAGAGGCAGTGGGCACGAAACAGAAAAACTTAACCTCCCTTTTTTGAAGAACGTATGGCGCATGGTAGTCCCCCCCCCCCCATACAAGTCCCATTCACTCAAATGGTGCTTGGTCTGGAGTATCACTTGAGGTATTTGACTCTGAGGACAGAGGATGATACACCCAGAGGCCTGAATTGGAGGGATAGCATAGCTGGGCTCCAGAAATACCGTTTGCTTGCCCTCAAAACTGAAGGACAAGATATACATATGTTGAGCACTCTAAAGACTACAGCTAGCTCAGAAGGGTGTCCGTGCCAGATCCACAAGTCCATCTGAACCAGAACACTGCGATGGAAACTGGCTGAAGCCCTACAGCAGACTGTGGATGTGATCACAGAAGGACTGCAACCTCCAGAAGTTCCCTTCCTTACAGGGGAAAACAGGAAGTCGCTGTGCACATATCATGGCCACTGACCAGTGTTCCAGTGTCATTTTCCTGTTCCTGCATCTTACAGATGAGAGCACAGAGTCAGATAAACTGGCAGAAGACACGGGAGGGCTCATGTAATGTGTTCATTAGTCCCACACCTTTGCAACGTGATCAGAGTTAATGCCTTTCTGTTTCTTTACCCCATTCCGTACTTGCTTCTTAAGCAGTGATACAGGAATTTAACAATACAGCCATCTTAAAAACGTTTAGGTAGCCTGAGTTTCCACTGAAACCTATGTTTGCTTTCCGAAATTAATGGACTTCGCAAGAGACCCCCAGCACGCCAGCTTAACTGACCTATGGGAACATTACCCTAATATCAGAAGTTTACAACATCTCCTGTTGCCAGCAACAAGAGATGCCTTCCAATCCCAACTCTCAACATCACTGCAAATTTTTTTTTGGGGGGGAGGAGAATGCACCAGAATCTAAGCATCAACCCTAGACATCTTGAGAAGGAAGTTTATTATGTCAACCTGACGAGTCTAATAGTTATCTGTAGTTTTATTGCCAGTAGTATTTTTTTTTCTTGCTTTAAAGCACATTATGGTAGCAAGATCGTGTTAAGGCTTTCAAATTTATTTTTCTTTTCCATCTTTCAGCTGGAAGACTAAATCATCTTGCTCATCAATGTAAAACAAAATGCAAGTATTGCCATTTCAAACAAGTATCAACACTTCAGTGGATCTGCAGTGCCTTCCACGTGCATTTGAAGAGCCTTCTTCCCCCCCCTGAGGCTCCTCCCAGCCTATGATGTAATCCCGCCTCCCTTTCTACTCACTCAACATGGAACTGCGGCCACTGAAACTCTCTCCCCAGCACGTTCCTGATCACTGCTTCATTTGGCCTCCACTTGATCCTCTAGTCAGAAGAAGAGGGGGGAGTTCCATTCAAATACAGTAGAAGAACTGCAAACCCATGAAGGAGAGTCAGTGAGATAGATCAGGTCAGAAGCATTTAAGCAGGCAATTCAAGCTGCGTCATAGATCTCCGTGGGCAAATATTGCCCATTGGTTTCTGCTGAACGCAGAGATTAGCAAAACCGACAACATTTATAAAATATTAAAAATAATAATAATAAAAATAATATATTGAAGCACAAATCAAACATATATAACAGTTGGTGCATAATTTCCATAGGGTTTTTTCTCTCTTTTTTAAAGTCACTATGCAACTCTTTCTGTATGCTCAAAGTCCACAATAGCCAGAAAGAGCCTTTTTTTTTACAAAATGACAGTAGCTAGAACATTATCATTGCTAATGTGAGGGGAGTGGAAAGCAAATATGTGGTTGTCAATTTTGTTTTTCCTGGTTTTGGCTTGGACCAACTTTGAAAACCTTAATCAACGTATTAATACTCAGAGCTGGATTAACTCACCCCCATGTGGCATATATAAATCTAACAAAGAAAAGAAGAAAACAAATCAACACCTTTATCCCTAAGTTCCTCTATTGGGGATTTCTTAAAAAATTTATTCCAGTTATTGGCTGCCGTTTCCAGGGGCTTCCTTGCCACTCTGACCCCTTGTTTCCAGCTCAGAGAACACACACAGCCGCAATCACAGATATACAAGAACAAGCTCACACACCTCAATACAAAAAAAAGAAGAAGTAACATTAATGCTTAAATGAAAAAGATCCTCTCCAAATAGTTTCATTAAAATATTTTTTTTAAATCATCTTTTCGGTGTTTTTTTTTTTTTTAAAAATCTATGATACCAAAAGACCTAATAAAGTAGTAAGGCACTCATATCAGTATATAACTGTAGTCTTTTGCATTATTTATACTGAAAGGCTTATGGCACTGAATCCAGACTGTCACCCTCCCCCCCACAACACTCTGCATCGCAACTACAGGTTGACTCAGCATTGAGGGATTAGGGGGAGGAAAAAACCCTTGCTCCATCAAGTTTATTCTGTGTGCTGGATCAGTTTGCTGGGGTGTGGTTGATGCCATAGCTGTCACTCAACTCCCAAGAGCTGAGGGGCGCTCTCCGCAGAGGCAAGAATGTGACTCATGGAAGGTTTTTTGTTGTGCGTCTCCAGTAAATCCTGTATGTATCCCGACGCGCTCTGCTGGTCGCCGTTCCCTCGGGACTCCTGCTCCTTTGCCGCTTGCTTCTGTGCGTTCTTGCTAGACTCTGCAAAACCAGAGACAGTTGTTCTAACATTCGGCCTCTCGTCCTTGCAAATTAAATCCTTGGCCGCACTAGCGAGGCTCTCTTTCCGGCTTCTAGTGAGGGGTGAATGGCTACCGGGTCCCACAAGCAGGTCACACTCGTTTTCGGAGATGGGGTTGGTGCTGCTATGGAGAGATTCGTTTTCGCTGTCCTCGTCGCCCCTGGAGCGGATGTCCTCTCGGTCGCTCTCCTTCCCATGATGCTGAGCATTCTTTACCTTCTGATGTATACGCTGATGGCGAACCAAGCTGTGCTTCAGAGTAAAGGTCCGTTCGCAGGTTTGACATGTGTAAGGTCGCTCCCCTAAGACAAAGATAAATAAACAGATGTTTAAAAGGTCCCGTCTCCTTTTTTTAAATATGTCAGGGGTTTTTTTTAATAGCGAAATTTGCGGATCAGCTACATAACAACTGGAAAGTGACAGAAAACAGGGGAAATAAAAGTGCTGCAACTCCTTATTTCCTAGGGGATTTTTCACAAGACAGTTAAAAACATTCTGTGCATTTTAAGTATCTCCACAATGACACCGCATTACGAAGGCTGCACCATCACATTCTCTTTTCTACTACAGAAGATGCTACACTTCCAAGATGCTGTCACCTCTCTATAGCATTTAATTGGCAACTGGAAGTCATGCTTCCAAGAGATCGTTTGCATTAGATAGTTACGCTTTTGTGGAATGACATATTTGCCAGTCTAAGACGAAGCCACCTGTGTTAGAATGTTCTTAGGGTCACCGGTGAATAAACTGGCGGGATGTCCGCGCCCACCCCTCTGGGTATGCGTGGTGGGGTTCCTGCGCATGCCCGAGGTCGGGGCGCGAAAATCCGTTAAGAGCTTGCTACAATGCCGATCAATCCAGCGCATGCGTACTGAATCCCATGGGTGTGAAGCACAGAGACCACGTCGAAGATCCAGAGATATCAGAGGATGGCCTGTTATCTCAGGATATGCTTATTGGGATTCAGGTGACAGACAAAGGCAATCCCAAAAGCTAATGGCCAAGAAAACACCCACTCACCCACCCACCAATTTTGTCAAGAAAAACTAGTTTGGGTGCATAATATCAAAAACTCTTCTCTAGGGTAGTAACGAGATAACTATGGTGTAGAACATGAGTCACCAACTAATATAAAGAAAGGTCAAAGGTAAGGAGTTTTACTGAACCCTTCCTTCTATTCTTTTCCTGCTCCCCCCCAAACTCCATTGTGTCTAGGGTTGCGAGGTCCCCCGGGGGGCGGGGAAACCCCCGCTCGATGGGTCCATTACCCGCTGGCCCGGATCAGGCCGCCGTGGGGAACTCCACCCCCAAAATGCCGGGATTTATGTGTTTTCATAATGGTTGTTTTGTTCTTATTATGTTTACTGTGCTTTTTAAAATAATTGTTTTATTTATATTGTAAGGCATCTTAAGTTCTGCAAGGAAGAAAGGCAGCTAATAAATGTTTTAAATAAATAAATATCGACCTTGATGGACCAATGGTCTGATTCCATCTATGGGAGCTCCATGCAAGTGAGAAAAAAACATTTCCCTAGCATTTCACTTATTCCAAATGTACAGCATATTCAATGTGCAGAAACCTTAGCAAGGCGTGGCTTCTGAATCAATCAACAGATGAGCCAAACAGCTGGGTAGCAGCCTGCAGGTGTGGCCTATTAGACTCCAGGTAACCGTAACAATGCTTTGCTGTGTGTGAAGCAGAAGGAAAAAATCCCACAAATAAGAAAGGCACTCCAGTAATTTGCTTTGTTTAAAAAACTTGCTGCCTTCCCTCTCCAATCCATTCCACACAGCTATGACGATTTCATCTGAAACCTGACATACAAAGGAAGACACTAGGTTTCTTTCCCTCTCTGTCAATTACATGTCCAGCATCACACTGCAACAAGCTTAGGCAACTTCTTACCTGTATGGGACCGCGTGTGCCTCGTCAGGTCTTGCAGAGACCAAAATCTCTTGTTGCAAATTGTACAGACCTTCTTCCTCTTGTCGGCCTTGGACTCATTCTTCGCCGCTCCGTTCGCTTTTGGCTTTCTGTCATCGTCACTCTTTTCAGAAAATTTCCTCTCCGTACTCTCTCCCTCCGAGATGCTTTCGCTTTCTTCGTTCTCTTTTCCCGTAGCCTCGCCGTCTGTGGGAGACTCGGCTACCTTGATGTCGCTCGCGGGCTCTTCCTGCTCGGGAGAAAGCTCCTCCGCAGCATAAGCTCGGGCTCCACCCAGGACACTCTTGCTTTCGTCCTCACTGCTCTTTTCATCTTTCCTGTCTTCCTGGGCATGGGCCTTTTTGTGCCGGCTGAGCGTGCCAGCGACTTTGAAGGATTTCCCGCAAACGTCGCAGGCGTGTCTCTTTTCAGTCTGAATGCCGCTTCCTGCACTCTGGTCGCTCTCCACCAGCTTGAAGTCCATCAGCTTACTGGCAAAATTGAGGTCCAGGCTTCTGTTGCTGGCGGAGTCTTCTTCCGGACCCTCTTCATCCTCGCTTATTTTCATCTGTGCGTCTTCCTCTCCTTGGGACGAGTCAAGCTTGTTCTCCTCTTTGGGACTGCCTTCAGGTTCGAGAAGCCCACTGCTCTCCTCTGGGTGGTCTCTTTCCCCAGAGGTCAAGTCCAGTGCTTCGCTTCCGGCGCTTGCATTCTCCAGGTCTGACTGACTGTCTGCAAGAAAAACAACACAGGGAAAACTCTCCGTCAGCAAGAATACCCTGGGGTAAGGCATCAGAACAAAGTTTGAGGCCAGTGGCACCTTTAAGACCAACAAAGTTTTATTTACGGTATAAGCTTCCGTGTGCAAGCACACTTCCTCAGATACAGTGGAACAGAACCTCTTCAGCCATTACCTATGGTGTGTGTGTGTGTGTGGGGGGGTTGTTGCCAGGATGGGCCATAGCTGAGACAATTGCAAGAAAGATCTGTGAATGGCAGTAAATTAGCATACAAATACAAGAGTTAACAAACAGATGTGGGAATGAGGTTTGTGTCCAGTGGCCCTACAAGACAAATAAAGTTCAACTCTGGGACTTAGGGTGTACACTCCTTCAGATTCACTGAAAGAGATTTCCTCAGATATTACATACAGGTAGGGGGGTTAGTTGCCAGGAAGACCTAATTAGAGTCAAGATCCCTAAGTAACTGAGCAATAAATACAACTAAGATTGGAATATATTATGTAAGACATAAATAGCAGTAAGCTGGTATAAAGGAGTTAACAACAGATGCAGGAACTAAGTTTGAGCTCAGTGGCACCTTTAAGACCAACAAAGTTTGATTTCTGGATATAAGTGAAAACTGAATGACTTAGCGTTTGTAGTAAGAAGCCAATATCTCTGTTAAGTCCTGGGGGTTCCATTTTCTTGAGTATTGTAATAATTTGTAAGTCATCATAAAGCTTCACTTCTAATAAATTTTGACACTGCTCATATGTATTTGTTTAGGGTCAAGGTCCAATACAAATCTAGTAGAGGAAAACGTTAGACGGCCAATGGGGGTATGCATGAATGTGGAAAACTGGGCGAGACAAACTGGTACAACTTCTCTTATAAGTGACAAGTGAATCCAATGGTCATGATCCAATGAGAGGACATGGACACACACAAAAGTGGTCTGCGTACACAAGTCTGCCTGTACCCAATCCAAGGCCTAAGAGTGCATGTGATTGGGTTGAATACTTCCAATCATTAATCTGGGAGAAGTAGAAGGCTGGATTAAGTCCTCCTCCAGCCATCCATGACTGGCCTATTTGAAGACTCCCAGATCAGGCTTTCAGCCTCAGAGAGCAAGTGGGCATGATCTTCTGAACATACACACTAGGGTTGCCAAGGGACTCCCGCCGGCGGCTGGAGTGCATGCGTGCTGCATCCACATCACTCAGAAGGGACGCGGCCACGCCGGGCACGCTGGGGGTGGGGGCACGACCATCCGAGGGAAAACCATAGAGTTTTCCCTCGGATGGCCGTGGCCCCGCCCCCAGCGTGCCCGGCGTGGTCGCGTCACTTCCGGGTGACATGCACGTCAGGGTGGGTTTCCCCCCGGGGCCTGATCCCCCAGTGGCGGGGAACGGTCCTCTTGGGCGGGGGTTTCCCCAACCCCCGGGGGGACTTGGCAAGCCTAATACACACTTCCTCCTATTAGATTAGAGTGGCTGTTGCAAAAGCATACGACTATGCAACCAAGAAAAGGTACTATCTCCCACTCATCCTGAGTGTCCTAAACCACTACATCTATTGTTAGAACACTGTGGGAGCTCTGCTTGCCTTTCATATTGAGTATGTATTTAAGATTTTGAGTAGTAAAGCACTAAAATGCTTCATTATTAAGAACCTCAAAGCTGCCTAGAAATTCTAACTTCAGTAAGAAAACCCGGGAAGTCAGTGGATATGGCATGAGTCAACCACCAAGCACAAGATATTTTCAAACACAAGATAAGAAGTTGTGATTTAAAAAAAATAATACTGAGGTTAAAACAGAATTTGCAGACTTGATTAACTTAAGTTTCTTTTTTTAAAAAAAACAAGAAGAAAGATCAGTGTTTTTACTGCAGCAACACAACTGGCCAATGTGGGAGTGTGCGCAGTGCTTTCAATTATATAAAAACTTTCAGGCAAAGTAGAAAACCTAAGTAATACTCAGGTAGGTAAAGAGCAAAATATAAACATATGCGTGGATGTAGGGTTGGCAATAATTATCACAGCATTCCTCACATGTCAGTCCCGTAGAACACACTGGGCTAGCTAAAAGCTGGTGTTCAGCCTAAGAAACCCACACGACAGAAAGTCGGAAAGGATCTTCAACTTGTAAACGAACAGCCAGAAGCCAATCGTTTCAGCAAGGAAGACCTGTTGAAAACATCTTTGGTCTTTAAGAATCTGGATTTTTACATCACATGTTTTAAGATTTTGCTTCTCTGGGAGAGCTAGATTCAAATCCAGTAACATCCTAAGAGACCAACAAGATTTTGGGGAGTATTATACCCTGAAAATCTTATTGGACACTAAGGCGCTACTGGACTCAAAATCTAGTCCAGACCAGCCTGGAACTATCCTCTGAAACTATCTTCTCTGGGAGAGTATCTAATAATCTTGCTAGGACAATCGCTGTGCTTCCCCGTTCATCTGATCAATCTTCCCTATCAGCATTGATCACAGCCAAGACACACAGGAAGACACACAGGTTAAGTCAACTGAATACAAGAACACAGCACCTGTGATGCTAGCCCCGATACCCTTCCTAAAAGACCAACCCCACTCTACCCGTAGCCAGTCACCGTGGGACAAATCCCAGTTTAGCGCTCGGGTGCAGCACTTAGAATTCCGGCTGCAAGGAGGGCTGGCTCAGGTCTCCTGCTCAGTTATGACACTGGAATCACTTTCTCTAAATATCAAGTATCCTGCAGGGTGAGGGTAAAATGTGCTTGCGAGGAAGAACAGGGTATTAACTGGCATCCAGGGGTCGTTTCGTAGAAAAAGAGCTAGGGGAACTCATTAGCATAACTCATTAGCATATGCCACACCCCCTGACATCACCGGAAGTGTGTCATAAGGCCACATCCCCTGACATCACCAGAAGTGCGTCATAAGGCCACACACCCCGCCCCCAACGGTCCCAGCCGCCGCCACCGGCCTTGCAGCTCCACTGCCGAGCCCCATGAGGGGCCTGGCGGTGGACCTGCAAGGCCGGCGGGAGTGCAAGGAAGCCCCGCAAAGGCCCTCCCTGGCCCCAGGCAGGCAGGGGTGGGGAGAGGAAGGGAGGAAGCAACTTATGATCCCCCCCGAAATGACCTCTGCTGGCATCCACAAATCAGGCCACCAGGGGGGAAAGTGTCCCTCATCCTCTGATCAGGGTTCCTAGTTAGCATCATGAGGAGACGCTTTTTTTCCTTAGTTTTTTTTTTGGGGGGGGCACGTCATGCTGCTGAGCTTGGGAGCTAGAACAAGCACTTCTGCCTGCTACAAAGCCCAGTATGATATTGCACCCTTCCCTCTCCCCAGTTGGATGAAGGGAGACCAGATTTCTCATGTTGTGATCCTGAGCTCTGTAACAGCTCAAAGCAACAACAGACTTGCTCCAATGGCCAGTAGGCTGAGAGCCTCTTTCTCTCTCTTCCCATAACCTAGCATGGGGAGAAGGCTTGAAGGAGAAAAGGCCAAAAACATAAGCATTTCCTAATGTTTATTTTAGTGGAATCAAATAAGAACCAGCTACTCACATAAGAGAAATGTTACACTACTGCTTAGAAATTTCAAATACCTTTCCTATGCCCAGGAACAAATGACCTTTCACGTGTTCCAAGCTTATTGAAAAGTTGCCAAGAGATCTGGTGCCCATGCAAAACTGCAACCATCACATTGCCTGCTCTGAGAAAAACATGTCCCATGTTCTAGTAGGGCTGCCAGCCCCCCATCTCCGTCCACTGGGAGGTGGGGGACCCCCACTGCCAAGCCCAGCCACCCCGCTACTGATCAGCTGGCTGGAGGGGGGACTTATCAGGAGAAAGAGGAAGGCCCAAGGCCACATCACCAGCATCACACTGGAAGAGACGTCAAGCCAGAGACATTTGGGCGACACACTGGTATTTGGGCAAAAACTCTATGGTAGAAGCAGTTTTTACCATAGAGCTTTAGTCCAAATACCAGAGCATCACAGTATCGTTGCAGTGTGATGATGTCATTTCCTGTGCAATGTCAGCAACATGGCCTGGCCTCTTTCTCCTGGTAAGCCCTATGTGCTAGTGTGCTACCATCCATATTTTGACAACACTGGAAAGATTCTAGCCTCTAAAAAAAAGGTACTGAAAAACGGTATGCTACAGACAGGGTTAAGACGTCATAAATGCAAGGAGAAAATTGCATTTATTATCCCTGCTGCAAGTGTATCATCCGGTAAGCTTTGATAGTTACAGATATTTTTCCCCTGTAGTATTAAACACACTGCTGGCTTTTGTAAAAGTCGGTCAGACTAAGGAGCAAAGTTTAACCCCTGGCATGCATGCCAACAGTGGTACACCAGACCATTTTGCTTGGCAAGCATGACCAGATCTTAGATTCTAACTTGGGTTGAGCCAGACTTTAAAACCCAGAACAGGACTAGCTGAAATGCTTTCATCTGCATGACAGAAGCAATAGAGTTTGACACTTGCATAACATTCATTTATGTAGCACAGGCATAAAGTTACAATGGTCTGTTCAAGACTCCCCAAAGATTTCCTTTTTATTCTTTCAGCCTCTTAATCCATAAATGGTAAACAGCAGTAAGGAGGATGCAGAGACTCCCTGACTACTAAATCAAGGTAATAAATTCACCAAGATCAAAAGGGTAAGCAACAGCTATTTGCCAAGGTAAGCCAAACAAACACCCCTCCACACGCACACACACTATAGCATTGGTAGATCCAGGTAGTCAGTCCTGTTGGTCTTAAAGGTGCCACTGGACTCTAAATTTGTTCTATAGCATTGGTAGACTTTAATAGGTATCCAGAAAGAAAAACAGCCGTTCATTCTTTTTCTCCCTGCATTTCTTGCTGCAGCATTTTATTCCATTTCCATCCAATTTCTACATTCACAAGTGCCAGAAACCAGAACTTAACCAATGGCTTTCAAGTGCACCTCTAAAGTCTCTCAAACTCTGCAGAACAGCAACTTCTCTCTGCAAACCTCCAACATCTTCCACTAGGTGGAACACTTTAGTAAGACTGCATTTTTACAAATGAAAAAAAAAATTGTATTTCTGCTGATTAAAGAACTTAAAAATTCTCCCTAATGGCACACTTGGTAATATACATTTTTATTCATTGCCCCTCTTTCCAGGATCATTCCAAATGGTATTTGAGCCATGTTGCATTCATTTTAGACACTCACAGATTTAAAAAACATAAAAGAGAAAACTCCAAATTCATACCAAATTAGTACACCATATTTTAGTGAAGAAAATCAATAGCTGATATTTTGCTTTTTCTAGTATCTCAGGCCTTAAGCATACATTAACGTTTCATTTAGCAGGACCCAAACTGGACCCAAAAGGTGGCTGATGCATTAGCCAGTCAGTAGCCAGAACCTGCCCTTGAAGGAAGAAGCTGTTTGAAAATAACGGCACACCGCTTGGGATAAAAATGACCCCAAATTAAACTTCTCTAAAATAAATCCCACAACATCACAACCTTTAGGTGCTCATCTTTCCAGCACCGCTCTTTAGCAATGGCTTCCACAACGGTAAGAGTAACAAGAAGCAGCCAAGTCAGTCGGTTAACGCCAAGAAACAACAACTAAGCTGTTCAAACAAATGAAGGAATCTGGATATTGTACATGCTTCTGAGAAGAACACTTTGACTTTTATTGGCAATGCTCCCTCTAAGCTGTGGAGTTTTGTGAGCAAAAATTCTACTTTGTGAGCTACTGGCATTAAAGCTGTGAGTGAGCGATTTGGCTACTGCATACATTAGTTTGCCATCCTTCCTGAGCTAAGACAAAAATGTGTGAGCTGGAGGCTAAAAAACTGTGAGCTAGCTCACACTAACTCAACTTAGAGGGAACACTGTTTACTGGGGGTATGTTTATTCAATTCAATTTATATCCCTCCCTCCCTGCGAGCGGGCTCAGGGCGGGTTACAGGTCACACAAGACGTGACAGTAGAACATCAGAATATCACAAATAGAGTAAAGTTACAAATTTTAAAGTTGAGAGGACGAGAGGACTTCCTTCGTGCCTTGAGCAGAGAAATCTGCATGCTCCAGATAGAATTCAAGTATCTCATTGTGATGCACAACTGCACCCCACCCAGCACAGGAAGCAGGAACAGAGGAACATCCTCTCTCAGTACTAGCATGCATCATTCAAACCTGCCTCAAGACTCACCAGGATTTCTCAGGCGCACATCCTTCACTGCATATCACTGTGCGGTAAAAGCTCAGTCTTGTGACAACAGCTACTTAATGATGCTCTGAATTTCCTAACAAGCTGTCAAAGTTCTCCTTTCACTGCACACAATAACATGAACGATACATTTCTCTCACTAAAGCTAAGGGCATAGTAACTTCTAAGCGGACCCATCCAAAACACATCTGCACAGGGTCTAAAGAACCTGGTACCATATGGTACCATACCAACAGGGTACCATATGAACTTCTGGGCTAGTTGCACAAGGAGGAGGAAAGCTTTGTTGCCATTCGTAGATCCTCTACATAACTAGAAATCTCTCTTTTCCTTCATGTGGGCGGTATTCTTTGGGGGGCAGGGGAATCAAATCAGCCTGTGCTATGCACACTACTGTAAATGCCAGGTTCTAGATCATGAAGACCAGATGTAAAACGGAAATTAATCTGACATGACAAAAACAAAAATCTGAACATATGGTTCAGAGTCCAAGCTATGCTATGATATATACAATTTTACAGTCTTTTGGAAAGAGGCGTTTGATAATTTTGCATTCAGGAGGACAAATTCCTACCCAGTATCGTTTTGGTTCTGATTTTTCAACTATACCAACAAAGTCTGAGGGGAAAAAAGGTCTCCTGGCTCCCAGATAAAACTGCATGCATTTAAACCAGCCCACATTGCAATTACAAATTCAGATTTATTAATGAGCTATCAGGCAAAATGCCATCAAAGCTCCCTTGCTAGCTATAAAAGGCTATGATTTTCTTCTTTATACCAAATCGGAAACAACAGAAATTTGCTCGATTTGTTCCTTCTGAACACAAGACTGAACTAGCCATTATGGTAGTTCAAACCCACATTTTACAATGTCGGTTGCACCAATTTTCTATAAAGTAGGAGTGCGCCATTGAAATCCAACACGGGCAGAAGGGATGTATGCTAAGCCACACACTTCTCTGCAGCTGACTCTCTCCTGGCAAGGGTTATTTCTATTCTCAGACTACTATGGGCTCCTCCTCATTGTCTCTTTTGTCGCTTGTGTCCCTAATGTTTCACATTACCTTCTTTTCTACGTGTGTTTTGCTCCCTCTAATGGTCAATTCGATATTACATTGCTGCATGTCTGGCATAAAAACCTGCAGTTTAAATCCGAAAGGAGATATGCCGGACATAGAGCAATGTAATATTGAATTGGCCATTAGAGGGAGCAAAACACATGCAGAGAAGAAAAACTGAAACAATAGGGACACACAGGCACGGAAAATGAGAATGCGAAAGAGCCCGATGTGGAGAAAGATGATTAGGAAAAAAACAGATTCAGAGAACACTATAGGCAGAGTTGAGTTCAGCCCACATACCCTTCCTAGCATGCAGCATTGAATACTTCCAACTTCATAGGAAATCTAGCATAGCCTCCATTTGTCATAAACAGGTCATGCTTCCATAACCTCTAGCGTCTGCCCCTCACATTCCATGAAAGACAACTAAAAGCCTCGGTTATTTATCTAGGGGCCCCCAAGCAAAAGGAATACAACTCATCTTAAAATCTGGAACAACCTAAAAGAGCTACCTGTGCTATCATGAGCTCCAGCATCACTTTCTTTAGACTGGGGGATAAGCCCGTTTCTTCTTAGACAGTAGCTGGCAATTCCGTGTTTGCGTAAGAGGTGGCGTTCACAGTTAGATTTGGTGGAAAAGAAGGCATCACATTTTTGACAGGGGAAGGGCTTCTGACCTGAATGGAGCAGGGGGGAAAAAAACAAAACACATTTATCTATCTTTCTAAGGCATCAGAGGAGCTCCGGCGTGCGTTTCTCTGTGCTTGTTTTACACAACCCGTGGTTAATTTTCAGCTCAATCCTGGACATATTTACTTGGAACTAAAGTCCTACAGTACTCAGCAGGATCTACTTCCCAGTAAGAGTGTTTGGGATTATAGCTACAGTCCAAGTTAATTTAAACATAAAAACACTGGCCTGAACAAGTTCAACTACTCAGGTTCAAAGCAGAAGTATCATTTTTAAAAGTGGAGTAAATTAAGATAACCCCAACTGAGTGGGGAAACCTGGCCTACTCGACCAAACAGCTGAATACCAATCCCATGCCACCAGCTGAAACCACAGGTAACCCAGGTGACTCAATAGTATTATAACCCCTTATGAGACCTCATAAGACCACTAAGTCCAGAATCTAAATTTAACAAATTGCACCTAGTGACCATCAGAAATGTCCAGTAGTGGCTGAAATTCACTTTGGTTCATTCAACTTTCCATCTCACGAGATCAGAACGTGAGGTACGACAGTGAGCCCCCCTACCCTTTGCTCGGTAGGGACCAAAAGTCACATGGCTCTTCCCTTCCCAGAGCAGTCTTCCTGCAATGTCCTTTCCACCTGGCCTTGATGTAAGTAGTATACAAGTTATTTAGTAGTTGGTATCCAAGAGGAAGGCAATGGCAAGCCACCTCTAAACGCCCCTTGCCGTGAAAACCCAGCGGGGTCACCATAAGTCAGCTGCAACTTGAAAGCACTTTCCCACCACCATCCAACCTTCCTGGATCTCCTTTTGTTGTGTTATAGGTAATTAGTTTGACCTGTAAAACTACCTGGAGCACTGTGGCAGAAAGACCACCACATGTTCCGCATGGGAGTTTTGCTCCTCCCAGCAAGGTCGGGTGTCTTAGCCTCCATCCCCTACAGCAAGTTCTGCTTCAGCTTTTTAGTCGTTTGGTGTGGTGGTTAAGAGTGCGGACACTAATCCGGGAGAACCGGGTTTGATTCCCCACTTCTCCACATGCAGCTGCTGGTGCAACCCTGGGTCAGTCACAAGTTCTCTCAGAGCTGCTCTTTCAAAAGCAATCCTCTCGGAGCTCTCTCAGCCCCACCTACCTCACAGGGTGTCCTGTTGTGGGGAGGGAAAGGGAAGGGCTTGTAAGCCACTCTGAGACTTCTTCGGCTAATGAAGGGTAGGATATAAATCCAATCTCTTCTTCTTCTACCCCCATGCTTGGGGATCAGCCTCTCAGAAGAGGTCAGAAGGGATTGTTACCCCTCCTGGCTTTCCAGTAAGGCTGTAAAACATTCTGTGGAGCTTCTGGGACAGTCCAGCTCCAGGCAAAAAAGGGAATGATCTTCTGGTATTTTTACATTACTTATTTTAATGTATTCTATGTTATCGGGTCTTGAGGTGTTCGGAGAAAGGCAAGCTTATAAATACTTTAATTTTTAAAAAATCAAGGCCCCACACACAGAGAGAAAAAAATAGAGAAACCATGCAGCAAGCAACTTTACAGCAGTCACTGTGCGAGTGCTGTTCCAGTCTATCGGAGTTCAGAAATTTGTCACAGTTCAGAATGAGTCAGTGTGATTCTACCCAAAAATGTAGGTTCCGATGAAAAACTGTAACGCTACTCCGTTAAAAATTACCCAACTAGGAGTCATCCCAGTTTCTTTTCCTCATGCTGCAGAGAAATAAATAAAGCATCAGGACCTCAGAAAGTCCAAGAAAAGTTCTGCAGCCTTACAGAGACCAAATCTAAACCCAAACACACAATGACTAGAAAGCGTTTGGAGCCCTGCTTCATCTTCCTGCAAGAATTATTTCAGAATAAACTGAATAAAAGGGACAAGTGCAACAAGATCAAAGAGGCAAAGACACCAGAGTCCGAAACAATCATGTAAAGTCAAAGAATTAAA